TTGCATGATTATTGCCCGTTTCCAATGTAGATTAACTTTAATCTTAGTTTACTGTTTACCTTTCTCTCTCTCTCTAATCCTAAAAATTAGAAAAAGATAAAGAATAAATTAAAATAAGATTAAAATTAATCTCTTACATTGGTGGAACCGGGTACACGCCATCTGAAAAGAATTGATGTAATTTCTATTAGTCCCATGATGGTTTTTAAATGCTAATTAGTCGAGACAATTATAATAATTAAACTGTTTAAGTAATTTACATGTAACAGGATTTTTAAAGACACTACAAGTGATAAAGGAGATAAGTACTTATCAATATGGTAAAACTGTTTTCAGAATTCTTTCTCTTCTTTCGATTCTATCTCCTTTTATTTGTAGATACATATGTATATATAATATTAATATTCTTGTACAGTCTCATAAATAGTTATCGTGTATAAATAGTTAAATACATGTGTACAATAATATTATTATTATATTGTTATGTCTCTAATAATATTTCAAAAGAAAAATTTCAAAAAATTAAATGTACATAAACACATAAATAAACTTACATAAACATTTGTATAAAAAAATATTTTTGCTTGATAATTATTTATGATTTTTCGTAAAACAATACACAAAAATAATATTTCTTTAATCCTTTCATAATAATATTCCTTTCATTTATTCTTTATTTCTTTCATTTCTTCATTCTGATTAAAACTGATGCATTTATAGTTACAATGAGAGAACTAGAAAGCAAGTTGATTAATTAAATTGCTCAGATAAACGTATAGCACAGCAGGATAATTAATTACCTTGTGTATTTTCTTCGAATAACGCTGAATCGTTAGTTTCACAATCGTGACAGACCGCTTTTACGAAGTCGTCTCGACACTCGATGTCGGATTCACCATACGAATCGCGCGTCGACGTAACATCGCGTCAGAAAAACACGTTTCACATAGCCTTCACTTACGAAGGTGCCTCGAGAGCACAACCGTCTGCTCCGGTGTCTCACGGTCGCTTCTGCGCCAATCTTGAACTAATCGTGACTTCACGATCTTATCGGCATGCAATACTCGACGTTTCACGTTGTTTCCATATCTCCATTTCTTTGCCGCACGTCCCTCCCAAGTGTCGTTCTCCGTCTCAGATTATCAATTTTCACTGTCTTCGCGATCGATCCACCGTCACTTCCGCATCACGATGCATCCAATAGGGCGGAATAATACAAGTGCCCTGTGATCCCTTAGACACGTGTACCTCACGAACTTTACTTTAACAATCTTGAGAATCTTTCGATGGTATATATCTTCAGCGTTTCGATCTGAAAATACAAGCGCGCACGTTGCTTCAATTCAGTTTTCTCTCGATATAGCGACTGAGAGTGGATCGTTGTAGCGCGATAATAATAAGCGACTGGTCTCCACCAAGATCTCAGTGAGAGAAAGAGAGAGAGAGACTCGTTTGCGATTCTGCGAACGATCCAGTCTCTCGCACACATACACGCGCGCATGTATACACGCACGTACGCACGTACTCACGCATCAACGTAGCCGAAACACACCCGAGTGTCCCGATCCGAAGTCAGTCAGATCATGCGTGTACGGCGGACGACCTTCAGCGCTTCGTTGCGTGGCTCAAATATCGAGCGAACGCTCGCGGGATCCTTATCTGCGGCCGCGACTTTTCGTCGGACCGGCGCGACGCGGTCGACGCGGTGCTGCATCAGCGGCAGCAGTGGCAGCAGTATAGCGGTAACGACGATATCTTTTCGCGATTGCTTCCTTTCTTTCTCTCTTTCTCTCTTTCTTCTTTTTTTTTTATTTTATTTTTATTTCTTCACTCCCGTTGTGACACCGACCGAGGAAACCGCTGCTCCTGGGATTTCCGCGTCCGTCCTAATCTCAGCATCTATTCTAATCGCCCGCGTATTTCCCGGCGCGCGCACTCGTCAAGGTCGCCGCGCAACCTCTCGTGAGTTTCGCGGGATTCGCGAAAAATGGCTCTCTCCCTACCTCGTGTCGTGCCTCTCGCGTGCGAACGGTGGTCGCGCGAATCGTCGACACCGATTTCCAAAGATATGCCCGGTCCCTCGCGATACGCGAACGCGCGCACGACTGCGATCCGAAGGAACGCGTGCCGACGACCCGACGCGACGCAAGGCAAAGCAACTCGACGCGTCGCGACGCAACGCTTGTCGCCCGCGTCATCGCTCTTGCACGGTCTTCCAGTAGCGTAGCTACGTGCGATCGTAGTACAGGTACATGCATGGCCTCAGTAGTTTCGGTGTACACTCTAAATTTTTGGGAGTGAAATTTTCGCTCTTAGAGGGTGAAAAATCACTCCAAATGGGAGTAAATTTTCAATCTATGTGAAGAGTGAATACATTTCACTCTTCGAAGGGAGAGACTGAAACTTCATTTTGATAAATATTAAGTTGAGCCTCCTTACATCTAATCTAAAAATTATTAGGCTCGTTCGACGTGTTTTTGCACAAAATGAACGAATATGGCAGAAGAAAGCATCGCTCTGTCTCGTTAAACGAGATGTTAATAATTATAATTAAAGTTGATTTTTTAGGTTAGATTAAGAAATTCACTCCTGAAGGAGTGAAGTGAAGTTCACTCCTTGTCAGATTGGCGCAATTATCACTTTTCTTGGAGTGAAATTTCAAACATTTAGAGTGTATATTGACATATCGTGATGGAAACGCAACCTCGTTACGAAATGTCACAATAAAACGTCTACGTACGTATTTTAGACGTATTATATCACAGCATGATATTAGTGATAAACCGTTATCACGCCCAGATTTATTTCTTTATTAAGTTTTTTTTTTTGCTATTACTTACGTAATTTTGAACTCATAAATTAGTCAAATGTAGTAAATTTCTTTTTAAACGGTTAAAATTGCGTTGAACTTTTTATGTGCCAGTTGATTTTTATTGCGAGTTTTTAATTAATATCTTGGGATATTTCTGTGATACTCAACTATTGCAGTGTAGCAATTATTTATTACTATCGTTACGCTTTGTCTTATCTTTTCCTTTTTTTTATATAATGAATTATTGATACATTTTTTTAATTAAAAAAATATATTTGCAAGATATTTTTTCATATAACGCAGTTTATACATAAATTGATATTAAAAATTATACTATTTAATATTGCAAATTGTACTATTAAATTAAATATACAATAACCTCTACAGCTGTTAAAACACAACTATTACCATCTACTATTATTTACTATCATATAAATTTACTCTTGTTTTGATACATGATAAATTTTCAAAAATATCCTAACTTTTCCTTTTCTTTAAATATCTATCTTGCTTATAAACTAAATGTACTTCATATAAAATAATTTTACGTCACTTTAGAATAAAGATCCAGAAATTTGTTGATACTGCAAAAAAAAAATAAATATCGGAAGAGTATCCAAGAATATCCGGTAAACAGCTAGACTGTACAAAGGTTACTTGACATATGAAAGATTCAAACTCTTTTTAAAAAGCTCTTGAAATCTCAAAAGATACGTGCCACGTTCGATGGTTTAAAAACTCAAAGAAAAAGAGGAAACAAAATTAAAACAAAAAGAATTTGTTACAATTAATTAAACTACGCTTTTATGCATTGCAGAATTAATGAATTTCCGTTCGTCGTATACGAACGTGGCATACGGTCATGGATTGGATATACATATGTACCATTGATGCGCATGCGTTGTCGATGATGTCACCATCATTCGTGTCTCGTTCTCCAGATACACTCGTCTGCGTTGTACGTATATTCCATTGTATTTCTCACTAACAGCAGTATCGCTAAACACACACATTTCCTCGAGGCGTACTATGCATCGTAGTAACGTACATTAATTTCAATGCATACTATGACTGCGTCTTTATCTCTGGTTTCTACCGCTTTTTATTTTTATTTTTAGCTTTCTGTTTCTAGTTTCTACATAGCTAACGAGTGTATTTGCTTTCTATTTTAACGATTCCCACACTGCTTATACATAACGTTCACGAATTGCTTATGGCGGTAACAAAGAATTTACGTTTTTCGCAATAACATCGCTTGCTTTCTGCACGAATAAACCGATAATTTTGCATGCTTGTAATATTAATTCAACGTAAACGTTAATTAATCCAATGTTTAAAATTCAACATCAGAAAAGAGATGACAAATATATGGCAATGTTTGTCGTGTAATATTCACTTTTACGCTCAAATTGGAACAGCTGATAAAAAATTAATCTTAATTTAGAATTATTTTAAACGAAACGATTTTATTCGTAATCATGTTCAAAATATCCACAAAACATTACATAAAGCATAAATTGTAGTGTACATTTGAAGGTGCCAAAAGATATCACTGTATTCTTACAGACACAAATGCACACAAGTACTTATAGATAGTATATATTATATATATATATTTACATCGATATCGTAGAAATTAAGAGACACAGTTACGTTACAAGCAATAACGTTTATACAGATACGGAAAAATGTTGATACGTACAATATACAACTATAATCAAAAAGCGTTTTACTTATTGGTCTCACAATAAAGTGTAATAGAAATACTCAATAATTGAAAAACAAATCGTCAAGATATTATTGCAAGAGATTTATTTTTTACAAAGGAAGACAGAATAGACGTGTCCTTAGTTATCAGAGACGCAATTCGTTAATCAGTTGATACCAACTAAAAGTAACATGACGTCAATAATATAATTTCACACTCGACAATGTAACTGTTATATAACATTACGTGTTACATTATATTTATAATATATTGTTGAGTGCAAAATTATATAACATTAGTGCTATATTATTTTTAGTCGGTGTCAATTGGGTACTAACATAAAAAATCTAAACTAACGATACCCAAAGATTATTAAAATTATTAAAGTGCGAGAGTACAACTGCTTAAATTTATTCAGTTGTTTTACACGATTGTAGATTTAGGAATTTAGTTTTATTTCTTACGAACAGAAGTGTCAGCTTATCCGTCTTTCCAGATTGGCGGACGATAACGCGTATCTCTCAAGTATTCTCGTTTTTAGGTGCATTGACCAACATTTTGAGAATTGACACCAGATGCGATGCATCTGCTCTACAATAAATATAAAGAAGAGTCCAGTAAATGATGAAACGAAGGAGGATTTTCTGACTCATCGAGACGGTTTATTTCTGCCGACGCTCTCTATTCATCGACACTCGTACTATGTACATATTCTAACTAGTCGCGTCGTCTAGTTAAATCTATTTTTATTTTATTTTTATTTTTTTGCAAAATTGTCGAATTTACACCAGTCTATCGTTCGTTCGCATAATCAATCCGGTCGTGTCACGAAGTAAGCGCATCATTCTTTCTTCCTCTTTTTTTTATGCTTCCTCTGTTTCTCGTACTGATAATCGCATCATCGCGGAACCACTTCCGAGGAAGGCCGACCAGTCTGATTTGCGCTTAGAGATCGAGCTGGTTATGACTCCGTAAGCTAAATTAGTCACGTTTTCTCGCTTGACTCGCCAACGATTATTATTAATCATAAATAAACGTAAACAAATAGTATACTTAAAGGAATCATCATGGTCATGGTCTACGATAATGAATAGTAATTTACTCGGAATAAAAAAAAAAAAACGATGCGTATCGATACATATGTTAATTATTGACTAAACTATGCGGAATAATTATATAAAACCATTATCGCACTAATGTAAATTAACAAACATTAAAAAATATGATAAATGATAAATAAAATACAGTGTTTTGAATAAAAAAATATTGCAGATATGATTATTAAAGTTTTTTGATATTAATTTAAAACACATTTTATGAGTATATTATTGAAATTTATTTGATAGCTATATTTCATAATTAATTTTAAGATGAAATACATTTCAAATTAAAATAAAAAACCAATAAAGTTTCTAATCTAAAAATATGTTTGGCAATTTTAAGATCATTCTGTACATTTTTGCTTAAATGCATTTAATTAAAATAATAATTGCAAATCTTTAAATTTATTCATGAGTAGTAAAGTAATAGTTAAATTAAAAAAATAAAAAATCAAAAAATTAAAAAATTAAATTAAAAGTTTTTTCTTGTTTCTTAGCATCTATTATACAGCGGGAACATGACATGTTTTGATATTCGCATTTATGAAGATGAGCTTAATTGCGTATATTAAGTTTAATAATATTTTAAATGGAAAAACCGCTAAAGGAAATTAAATCCGGCTATTTTTTTTTAAGACTGTCGTTTATCAGGAATCGTCGGATAACATGTGCCAGACATAGAGCGATTTACAAAACGAAGTATGACCAACAAAGAAGATTGGAAGATATTTATAAGCGGGGAAAGGAAACGGACCGGGCTTAAAGCTATCAGTACATGTACGTTGCACGAAACACGCGATAAGAATATTTTTTGTTGCCAATGAATGAGGTCACTAAGTAAAACGCTTGCGCGCATGAATTGTTGAATTTAAGACATTTAAATAAAATAATGCGTTTCACGCGATCGGAATCACTTTGCAGTTCCCAATCAAATGTGATTTTCGCGAGATCATTATAATATGATTCGTGCCAAATGTATTTCTGAGTATAACTTGACTTGCAAATTAAAACTTGAGAGAGAGAGAGAGAGAGAGAGAGAGAGAGAGAGAGAGAATCGGGAAGTATCTTTCTATAATTATACACGAGATCATAAAAATAGATATCTGATGTAGAGTGTATATTTAAATTTAGTTCACCTTTGTTTTGAAAATTTTATCCGTTCCTATCAAATTTCATTTGTTGCTCCTTTTCTGCAGGGCTGATCATTATTATCACTGAACGGACCGTTTTATTCTGTGAACAGTTGTCACAAAAAAATTATGTGCAGTTATAATTAAACTATAATAACGCGTGTATAGCATGCATATTATTATGCTCCATTATCTATTAAGTAAGCGATATTATAATTACAAATTGAAATTACAATTGAAATATAGCGTTTAAATTAAATTACTGAGATATTAATTTTGCCATTAATTAAAACTAATGTAAAATATTGATATATATTTTGGAGTATTATTTTTTATTAGTTAAAATTAAAATTTAATTAAATTTTATATAAAAACAGAAATAAGATAAAAAATTTTTAATTTACTCGAAGATCATTTTGTTCTGTATGCCACGACTACATCGCATACAGTATTTGTCAGAAACACAAATGATTATAGAGTGATGATTTGCGCAAATCACTTGTTTTAAAATATTATTTTGCGCAATGGTTTTATTCTTGCAAGGGAAAGGTGCATCGCATATTATGCAACGTCAATATATACCACTTACTCAGAATCGGGAGACCGCACTAGCAGTCTAATCGCGTTTGCGGGATAATCAACGAAATGCCCGCAAACCTGTCCCATACGCACGCTGCGAAACTTGCAATTACCATACAATTTCCTTGCGAAACATTTATCTTCCACCTGTTGTTCTTGTGACGTAGGCAGATTCAGGCCCAGTCCGATTGACAGGTTTACGTGCGTCATAGTCTAACTTCATTACTAGATAATTAAGTGCTTACGCGAGCAACGCGCGCAAAAGGTGATATTTAAAGAATCCTTTATATAACATTATTTTAAGAAGGTTAGTTTAATCTCATTTAGATTCAATAACAAAGTCTCTTTAATCTGTTACAATAGAATTTTATACGAAATTTCACATGTGTTTAACCTGTCATCTTACGTTCTCAGTAAATTAATTTTATTAGAATATATAATTGTACAATGTATAATTTTAAGATATTTAATTTAGAAACAATTTAAAATAAATTGATTTAAATTTTATTTAAAAATTAAAAAAAATTTATATTATTGAAAACAGTATATCGACAACAGATAAATTATTAAGAATAGATAAAAACCTATTTAAAACGTATATTTTCTTCAATTATCACATATTATATACAAATAAATAATACTATTAATTATAATCGGTTGTTTTTTTGTGTACAAATTTGAAACATATAGCAAAGTTGTATAGTAAAATGCCAATTAATAAACATCTTTATTATATAGTAAAATAGAATCATAGTTTTATAAAAAACAAAATTTTTTATAGATAGTTCTTATCAATAACATTTCTTCATGTGTTTATCTTTAATCTTTAAGTTACTCACAACGATTGTGTAATATGTCGGTTTTATTTTTGTTCCAAACATTTACAATTCGTAGAGAACGCATGACACTGCTCTTTGTCTATGCCATTTTATATTGTAGAATGTAGAACAAAATAATGCACATTTCAATCGAGTATTGCAATGTACAAAAATATCGCACGCATCTTCAATAAGATATGTCATGTATTTCGAATTAATGAAACAAATAAAATGTCAAGCAACAAAAATAAAAAGAATATTGAAGTTATATTGAAATGCAAAAATAAAATAACGCTAATATGTTATGCAAAGTGTAAACAATGTAAATATCATAGCGTAAACAATGTAAATCATAAGATATTAATCTTAAGACATGACAAGTTAGTCATATTGATTTGCTACTTTATAAAAAGTTTCTTCTCTTTGATTATAAATTTTGACGAAAATATAAGTTAAACACAGTGTTGTACAGTGAAAAAGAAATATTGACTAAATGTAAACGTATATTTATTTAATTTATAACTTTTTCATTTGGAGTAAATTATATTTATTTGCTGTAAACAAATATTTCGCTAGTACTATTGGAACAAATATTTATTAAAATTTAACAATTTTTTTCAACGTAAAGTATGAATAGAGCCGTAATAATATAACGGAAATACCCATTTCTTGGTAGTTATAGAAAGTAATTACTTATCTGTTACGAAATATTATTACATCACGACATTCTGTATTTTGCTTTAACAAACTGAGCAATAAAATGATGCAATCGAATCAGATGGATAATCTGCATGATTTTAGTGTTATCTGTTGAATTCATCGTATAATTGTTCATAAAGCGAGTAGGTCATATTGGGTACTAGGCTGTAAAATCTGGTTACTTTGCATGCTTTGCATTACAATATAAAATTAGGTTAAATATAAATGTGTTGTAAGAAGTAATTATTTTATATTTTATTGGTGATTGCGTTACAGTGCAAGAATGTGCGATGACTCTGACGTCAAGCAAAATAAAGTACAAATGCGGAATTGTTTTCATATTTAGAACTGAATGTCAGATATAGCTTTTACGGAAGCGACGTCATAGAAGAGAAGCAAGTTTAATAGGAAGTAAACTTTTTAAATTTAATTAATTTTTTCCATTGTTAATGTAGATGTGCTATAATTTTAATTAGGACTGTGTCTGAGTTGTCGTAATTGAGATTTGTCAAAAATAATATATCATACTCTTTATCATATCTCTCTCTCTCTCTCTCTCTCTCTCTTTCTGTAACTAAATTACGTTATCTACAATTACATAACGTAATTGTATTATCTATTATATTAGAGTATTTGATTTATCCATGCGCTTAATCAATCTTCTCCATTTATCTGCTAGTGAAAAGTAATCATTATTATTTTGCACGTTTTATGTTACTGGGTTATCATTTTATATATAGAATCGTTATATTTTTATTTATCCTATAATTTTTATTTATTTGGAAACATAAATATAGGTAAGAAATAATTATTTTTATAATCTTCAAATTCTATTGCCCGAATATCGTATTCAATTTTGAATCATTTTTGGAAAATTTTATTAACAATACAAATTGACACACACTTTCTAAAAGGCTAAAGCTTGTTGCTGTTAATATAAGTGTTCAGTAAACAAAATATTCTTCGTAAAATGAATGCTATGAGACACATAAACAAGGAATAACGTATTTACAGAAATCGTTTTTCCGCGTTATATTGCATGGTAATTCTTCTTTTTTTCTATTTTCATGTTATGTAATCTCTCATCGTTGCCGTAAAAGCATTAATAAAAGCATTAATAATCGATTTGATGCAATTATAATCGGAAATTTTGCGAATGTCATCTTGCTTTCCTGTAATCTGCCAACTATATTTCCGTATTTATCCTTATCGTATCCTTTGGCGTATACATAATATTTCACTGTCATGATACGAAATCGCTTAAGAAAGAAGTTTAATTCCTGAATTCGATGCCATTCATTTCACTCGAAGAGGCTATACCGTAACGGTTGTGTATTCAAGATGCAGATCGGTACAAAGTTAAGATTTAAATAAATGACTTCTACTCCGATTAACTTAAGCTATTAACTAACCAAGTAATACTTGTACTGTTAACATAAATAGAATTTATTTTTTCGTTTGTTTGATGTATACAAAGAAAACTTATATACAATAAATTACATATATATAGTTAGAAATTTTGCTATATTAAGCAATTTTATCAGTAAAAATAATTACAAATTATAAATTAGTCGGAGTTTGACGTTGATCAGGTATATTTTGACAGTGACAAACGTAGTAGAAACTTTATACATCGAATGGATTTGATGTCATGATCACGTATTCTTATCAAGAAATGAACATTGATGTCGGTTACAATCAGTTCTAACAGTCGGAGTAGACTTAGATGGCGTTTTTCTTTGAATAGTAAAACAGATTTTTGCGATTCTCTCTTGAAGCTATACTACTATGACTTTCCAAAGCATATGTAGACAGGTTGCAATGTGATATGACCGCAAGTTAAAGCTGTTTCGAATATATGAACAAAATATTGCTTTTATATATAAACTAATAACTAAAAAAATTCTCAGAATAGCATGTGGTACATATTAATAGAGGCCTATAGCATGAATTGCGCCGAAGACAGATTTTTTTTAGAATTAAATTAAATGTGCATATACTCGCGTGCACAAATAAAATTTTAATTTTTTTCTGACGAAATTGATATATTTAATTTATATTATAATACTAATATAATATATTATAATATATAAATACTTTATACTGAAAGTGCGATCAGAAATGTTATTTGAGATGTTAACACTCGAATTGCAATAAAGAAGTATATTATAGCATACATTATTTAAAATATTTATTAATTAATAGTAAAATTAAACTGTTAGAATTTTTTTGGTGAGTTTTAGATAGTTACAATTACCTGTACACATCACAGAAGCTTTCAGTAATATTGCTACAACATTTCCAATATTACTGCAATATTATTAAAATGTTATAGTGTTGCTGAAATTACTGGAATAAGCTGGACTATATAGACCAATTATATAGTTATAATTATAATTCAATAAAAAAAATACTACATATTATTAGATGGTGAACTTAATTTCTGCCGCTCGCTAAAGTACAAACTAAAGAGTGTCGACTCCAACGCTGATGAGTTTCGACGGTGAAGTCGCGTGTCTTTTGTAGTTTAGACGTTGCTGAAAGTGATTTAGTCTTCGCAGATTAGATTTCTCGACACCAAAGAGATTTTCCAATCGATTAAAAATAAACCGTGATAAGCTGTTTTTCGACAAGTGCTTCTTCACTACTTTGACCTCAAGAAAACCATAGTTGAAACGCATTATCTGAACACTTATTATCCGAAGTGTATGATGATGAAACTCCATCGAAAAGAACATGTAGAGTTTGATTTGAACGCTTCCGAAACGGATTTTGACGTGAGAGATAAAGAACGTCCCGGACAGCCGAAAAAAATTTGAAGATGTCGAGCAAAAATTGTTCGATGAGAATTCAGTTCATACGCTTTTAGAGTTGTCGAAAGTGTTAAATGTTACTCCAATGGCTATCTCAAAACGCTTGCATGCCATGGGAAAATTTCATAAGGAAGAGATATGGTTACTACATGAGTTGTCAGAAAATGCTATTTCGAATCGTTTGTCTATCGCGACTTCTTTGCTTGGCAGGCAAAGAAAAAAGAGTTTTTTGTGACGTATCGCGATTGGCAATAAAAAATGGATTTATTTTGATAATCCCAAGCGGAGGAAATTAGGGATAAGACCCAGACAATCATCCACTTTAACGCCGAAAAGGAATATTCACGAGCATAAGACCTTGCTCTGTATTTAATGGGACTAGGAGGGTGTGCTGTATTACGAGCTCTTGCATCCAAATGAAACCGTTACAGCTGATCGCTACCAACAGCAGTTATGCCGATTGAGTAACAAGTTGACGCAAAAAAGACCATCCGTAACCAACAATCGATATAAAGTCATTTTATTGCATGATAACACTCGATGGCATGTCGCGAAAAGCGTGAAGCAGACACTTCTAGAACTTGAATAGGAAGTTCTCCCGCATCCAGCGCACTCTCCAGACTTGGCACTGTCGGATTACCATCTTTTTCGGTCAATGCAACACGCACTTACGAACACACATTTCTCCAGTTACGAAGAAATCCAAAAATGGGTGGATGAATGGATTGCCTCGAAAGATACCGCGTTCTACCGTCGTGGGATTGCTGTTACCGAGAGATGGGAAAAAGTAATAGAAAATGGAGGAAATTACTTTAATTAAGATATTCATTTATCTTCTCTTCGAAATAAACCAATTTTGGAGACGAAAAAGACCGGCAGAAATTAAGTTTATCACCTATATGAGTTGTTTTACATATTTTAAGAGTTAATACATGCCTTTAATATATTAAAATCGCCGAGACCGAGTATTCTATTAAAACCGTTGAAGATGCCAATTTGGCTCCTTGCTCTCGGTTAGTGAAATGTTATATTTATTACTATTTTAATATATTATTTGCATTTAAAATTTATATATTGCTCAATATATATTTATATCATATATTTTTCCTCTATGTCTTCAGTTACAATAAAATACAGATAAAAAATTACCTAATCGCAATCTTCCGACGTCTTTCGGAGGTTAATCAACAAATGATAAATAAATGTATACATATATATATTAAAATATGTCTGTAATATAAAAGAATATATTCTTACGATAAAGTATCCATAGAATGATCACGATAAATAGTATCCTAGTTATTGTATCGATCCAATCCATTCTGAAACATTAAGGTAATATGTTAAATATTATTTTAAACTTGTTTTAGTAATACTTAAGGTTCTAATAAAATATTGAAGTAATCGATCATCCAGATGCAAAGCTGAAAATCTCAAAAATAATTGTTATATAATTGTCTGATTCACTTAGATAAATTAATTGCGAGGCATTTCCACGAGGAATATTGACATGAATTCGTCGAACTTCGGAAATCTGAAAGAGAGGAAAGGTTAAGACAAGCGTTTCCCCAGAGTATCAATCACGCTGATTACGCTAATTATAATCAGTTGACGTAGATTCTCGTCGTATTTTACAAGGAAAATTAACGGAATATTTAATAATAAAGCTGAGTCAGCATTACAATAGATAGATGATGCTAAGACAGTGAAGATAAGAATTGGATATACAGTTTGTATTATCATCCATCATGTGATGTTATAGTTATCAAATTTTAAAAAATTGAATGATAGATATAGAAGAAGAAAGAACATATTATCATCATGTGACTTTTCAAAATACGTAATTTTTAAATCACATATTGATTTGAAACAATCCGTTACGCGATTTACATATTTTAATCACATTATTTCGTCATCCAATTATATGACGTAGTTTTTTTCAGTAGAATGTTCTTTTATATTTTTACACATTGGCGTCTAAAATTGTTGGCATCAGTTTTATTACACAGTAACCTGAAAATTTGACATCTAAAGATGTTTGCGCATGTCAAGTGTAACTCGCATTCTTTCCCAGTCTAAGTGTTACACGCAGCTAGCAATAGCACTATTCGAGCGACATATAGAATATATGTTATACATTGGTTTTATGCTTGACCGAATCGAAAATATGTAACATACCGGTCAGCTTTAGTTTTTCCTCAAATCAACTTAATTAATAATATAACATGTGTAAGAATTTATATTATTCCTCAGGATTTTTAAAACTTTTGATTTAATTGTTTAAACATCTAACCGCTACAACTAGACGAAAAGTCTAACAAACAAACAGCTTTTCTGAGTAAAACTAAAATTAACAAATTTCTAAATATAGTTCTGTTGACGTTACAATTTATGAAAGCTGTCGAATTATATTTCTACTACGTTACGACCTAATTTCCAGCTGACAACACCACGATCGACCAAACAGCGCTGTGTGTACGTAACTTTGCAACATTACGCAATGCTATCTTTAATTTTCCATCTACTTATTAATTTTTCTATCTGCTTGGAATTATCTCCATTAACAGTTTTACTGTTAATTTCAATTTTATCATAATATAATTTTTTATGTTCCGTATGCAGTGCATTTTATGTTATGTTAAAATATTTAAGTGGCACGTGTTCAGTGTGATTGCAATTTTATAGTAAGTACGTCTAATCTTTTACTTTCAATTATTTGTGAAGAATGCGTCAGAAACACGAAACATTGCAGCGCTTCTTGATTAGTGTCTTGAAGAAAATTTGTGACAAAAACCGGATTTGAGAATATTCAAAGAGTTATTTAGTAAGTATCTATTTTCTATTTTATAATAAGAGATGTATTTCACCTTTTATAGTGATGTTTTGTTGCTTCTAAATCATCCATGCTTTCATTTAACAAATATATTTTTGCACCAATTATTCCGTCTCTGTGAATGAAGAATGGTGTAGAATATTAATGTAGATAAAATTTTATTACATTATAATTTATAACTAGGGGAGATCAGGGCAAGTTGTTACAATTTTTGATTAATAATTTTTTCCATACTAATGTATACATTTAAATTAATGAATACTTACGTATTGCTTTAAGTACATCTTTACTTAGATAGTCAATTTTTTTCTGATTTGTATCTATAGATCTGTTCAACTTGCTTACACTTTTTACACTCAGCCTATTCGCTTTCTTCCTTTTCAGTGCGAAATATATATCTATCTCATTTTAGATATAAAAAATATAAAAAAGTGTAAGCAAGTCGGATAGACCATATGTCTTTAAATACTGAAAATTAAAATTTTCTATCAGTAAGTAAATTCTAACAACTTACCCCACTGTGGGGTAAATTGTTATAGAGCTGGGGCAAATTGTTACATTTACAATATCACTTGAAATATATATGTATAAGCAAATTCAAGATTACAATGATATCAAACATGAAATATGTTATAAGGAATATTTATTTTATAATATGAAATTAAAAAAATATATTATTACAATAATTTGTTCTTTAATTAGTTATTAAAGTTAACGATGGAAAGTCATAAAATCAATATTACACGCATTTGTTGCTCTTCTCACAGATAGGTAGCCATCTCTAACTTTCTTTACCTCTATAGCATACGTTTTTACATTTACAGGTCCTCTGTTTGTCTTTTTTTTTGTAAGATTGCATCATTCCACAGATTTTTATAATTAACTAGATTGCTGATTCAATATGATAGAAAGAGATAAACCTGATTCCGAGCTGTCCTTGTTTCAGTTCACATATGCGTATGCGTTCTGTCTGTAAATATCGCATAAATTTGTGTGAAAACTAACGTTATTAATCCGTCTGATTTACACATTTGAGAGTGAATGAACACAAATATTGCGCTATCCAGCGCTATCTTCAAACATGGAGACAAAGTCGGCAATCTATTTATGGAAGTCTGTGCATCATTCTGTAGAAGCAAAAAATTGTTATCAATGGAGTAAGTTGTTACATTGTAACAACTTGCCCCAACCTTCTATTTTTTTTAATTCCAAAAAATACAAATCGAAAATCAGTACATATATCAATTCATACAAAATGTGTTATTATAATCAAATGTATATATAAAAGATATATACAAAAGGATAATCACCTGTGACTTATATGTACAATAACACAAGCAATTTATACAATGAAATATTTACTTTTAATAATGAAAATAAAAAAAATATACATAGCATCTTCTAGAGCTCAAATATGACAGCTAAACTAAGTGAAGAGTATCATAAGAATCACAAATTCTTATGAATACAAAAATTCATAAAAATGTGCTGCCACCTGTGGCAACTAAAAAAACTAACTGTAACAACTTATCCCGTGTAACAACTTGCCCTGATCTCCCCTATATAATTAAGTCGTACTCACTTAAAGAATTGAGATATATCGATAGTTTGGTAAAAGTATCCAAATTCTTTTGCATTCTCGGGGCTGAGGTTATCTACTATGTTTAACAATTTGTCATTGACAAATTTCCATTGATTCAACAAAAAATATGACAAAGCGCTGTTAGACACGTACACTTTTCTTTGTAATCTGAGCAAGCTACAAATATTGAATACATTACTAAATATTTAAATCTAGAAGAAGAAACTTACAACAGGTTTTATTTTACATATTGTATTTTATAATTTAATGTTAGGAAATAAAATATAATCCACTAACAATAAACGTTTAAAAAACATATTTCCCAAATATTTATTAATTGTTCTTCTTGGAAAATATTTTGTTCAAACGTCTGTTATTGGCAAAATTAAAATGCATGTATATCCGGAAATTTCTATTAAAAATTTTTTAACCATAATTTAATTGTAATAAGTTTGTATAAAAGTAAAATAAATTTTTATATATTTAAATAAAAATCTTACATTGGGCGCATACCAAATAATTTCATAACTCCATCCAAAAAAATTGCTGGTAAAATGTGCAATAATAACACCGATATGTAATATACGTAAAAATTTTTTGTTATTGTCGATCTTGGCTTCCAAAGTATATTTTCCAAAGGTACGTCCTTTGTAAAGCCAAGACCTGTGGTAACTATATTTTGCATGATCATAGGCTTTATATTATTGCCAGAACAGTTATAAACATCAGTTGTTTTGTCCTCACTAAAGCATAAAATGTGCTATGAGTTTCTATATAAATCGAATGTATATAATATTTCGATATTATCATTTTAGAATATAACACATTAAGGATTTAAGCTGTTTTATTTTATCGTAAGTGTCGCGCTTACGTTTTGATTCCACGTTTCCAAGCTGCAATTATTAAAGCTTTAATGACTGCATCAACTGGCATAAAATCGGAAATATTGTTAGGTTCACACCACAGCACTCGCAATATTCCTTTGCCTCCACCAACTAGCATGCCAACAGGCCCATTGAAATTGTCAATCCAACCTCGCACAGGTTCAATCGATGTTGATATGACTAAAATACAAAAAAGTAATTTGATATTTCTTTAATATCTATTTCCTACTGTATCAATTTCCTGTATAGTTTTATGTTAGCTTGTTTTTTAATTATATCTTAGTTCGTATATTTAACATAATGTGTTTAATATAAGATATATTAATAAATTACTTTATATTTTGCATTATCTAACATACACATTATATAAAAACTAAATATTTTGTTATTATATAGAGTATAGAGTATATTTATTATATAGAGTATCTGATAATTTTATATCTATTATTTCTCGTGAGCAGATAAAGCGTAAAACAAAACAAAAAAATCTTTTACCATAAAAATGCATTCATACGATTTAATAACAAATAAATAGCAATGAAGAAAAGGCAACCCAGCATTACGTGATATTACATTGCAATACTTGTGCGGAGAGACACTAAGGAGTTCTTACAATCGCGAATACGTAATGCTAGACTTGTTCTTGTTACTGTGAATCGTGTGGATACATGCTCATTTGCAAATCTTTGTTAATTAATTTTTTATTTATTATTGAGAAACTCAATGATATTGGCTATAAAAATGATCAAAAAGGTTGTAACAATTAACTAATTCCGATTCTTTTTACACATATACACATAATAATTAATTTAGGACAGAAAGTATCAAAGGTATTTTTATGTTCTTTTTTAACAAAACACACAATAATAATTATTTACATTTTTTTACAGATATAAAATTAATTCTAACAAAAACATTAAATCAGGAATTTGATTAACATAAAAATAAATTTATATATTATATAAACAAATGCAAGTAATGAGTAAAAGAATAGGTGTATTAGCATTACGTACGCACCGATCGAAGGCCTAATGAGTGCACAAGGCAATGATTTGGAATAATCGCTTATCACTTGCTCAGCCAATCTTTTAGTAAAAGTATAAGTGTTTGGCATTGTTGCTAGAGTTCTGTAAATAAACGTGAATGTTTATTTTAAAAGTGACAATATGATATATATCGTCCTCTATAAAGCTTACTTTGCTGTTAATATATCAAGAACGTGTCCGTCGATGGATTCGACAATCTCTATCATTTTTTTCCAGTCAAATTCTGAAGGATATAAAATCTCGTTTACTACAGGTTTGTCAATTTGCGAGTACGTTGTACTAACGTGCAACAGAACCTTGAATTATATATTAAATATTAAGATACTGTTAATATATTGAAAATTTATTTTGAGACAGTAGACACATTCTTAATTAGTACGCTTCGTATTTATGTTTATTTGCACAAAATTATTATAATAAATATTATAATAAATTTGATTTTAAACAAAATAGTAAATACTTACTTTCAATTTTTTCATTTTTTCGGCTAAGACACAAATATCACGTGTTGATCTAGTATTATTGAAAACCGCTTCTTTGAGTCCTTCATCAAATCTGACGCTAGCGGCAACGTGGAAAATTATGGATACTCTGTCAATTAAAATATCACGATCTACGGCTAGCAATCCTAAATTTTTAGCAGCTACATCTCCTATTATGGGGATGATTTTGTCAAAACTGGATGGTTGTTTGCTTCGTAGTTTGTCGAATAACTTGTTATTTAACATTTTTTTAATCCTATCATCAACGCTTAGTCCCTTTTTTGACCTTATCAATATAAATATTTCTTCTATATCGGGACAAGATCGCAGAAGCTTTTCAATAAGCGCTTTCCCCAAGAAACCAGTGGCACCGGTTATAAAAATACTACAGCCAGAATAAAAGGCTGGAATATACACATTTGCCGCATTATTTTCCATTTTTAAACGTAACAGAAGTATAATCAATAAAGTATATAAAAATGGCAAATAAACAGTAGTAAAAAAAGAGAAAATGTGATTTAAATGTGGATAAATTTAATAAAAATTCACTTTGTAACACGGCACGAAATCACAACACTTTATCTTCAAGACACGGCAAACATATGAATGAGTCTAATAAGAAATTAAATACAGGAAATGACATAGAATGTGTCTAGTGATAATGATATTCTTGAAAGTTCAAAGAGTAAGGTTCTCCATATTTATATATTAATTTCCATATATTGTAAGCTTTGTGGTTCTTTTAATAAAAGATTGGAAAATAATCTTATAATGTCATATATATATAATAGCAATACGTTTGATACACTCTGTGCATAACTTTGCATAAAAGTTTTCTTTGAAGTCATGAAAAACATATGCCTCGAAAAAAATTTGTTATGCATAAATATATATCTATAAATATATATAATACATCTAAACATACATAAATATATATAATTATATGTAAAGTGTATACATGATCATACATTCTTCTTTCTTTTGTAAAATTATATACTGTTTAATATAAGAAAAATAATAATAATGAGAAAACAAAAAATAATTAAAAGGATAATTTTTATATATTGTTTCTTTTAGAAAAAATCAAATTTAGAGAAAAATATAAAAAAGTTGCTCATACATAATTATAAATAAAGTATTATATGTAATTATGTATGAGCAATTCTTCTATATTTTTCCAAACTTGTTTATCAATTTTACCAAACTTATCTACATACAATATCGATTGTTGTGTAAATGCCTACGTAAATAGAGATAATATATTTCTGACAATGTTCGTATATTTCGCGGAGTTTCTGTAAGAAAAAACTTAAGTAACATTGATGTTTTACATAGATATCTAAAAGATGTCTTTTAGGTATCTTGTGCAATATGCATACGTGTTATCTAGAAAGTCTTTAGATAAGTTACGCGCTTTTAAATATCCGAAATGTTTATAGATCGAGTCCCCTTTATCGCCTCTTTAGTTAAATTTGCAGAAGCAAAATCGAAGGAGTAGGGAGAATGATTCAAACGATAATGCAACGTTAACTCAAGAACTGCCGTATAATAACCGCAGTATAGGATAGGCACATTGTCATGAAGCAAATGTTAATTTGTAACCTTCTGAAAGTAGAATTGAGCAGTCAAGTAGAATTACAGTCAAATAGAATTGGACATTTAGGTTTGCCCTTGAGAAACGAATTTCTTATGCATGATGAATTCGTTTCGTAAGAATACGAATAAGAGTCCGAATTTAAATTGATAAGTAAATTGTAATGTACTTCTGAGAAATGAATAATTGAGCGAAAATGATGGTGGAAAAGGATGAGTAAATTAAATTATTTATTATGTATTCAAAATAACGGTTGATTTTTTTTTGCGTACAGAAATATACCTAATTACTCAAGATAATCAACATTTTTTATGTAAAAAGAATGTATGCGTACGGAGAACACAATAAAATTGCACGCGTATCAGGATACATTAATATGCCCGATGTATACGCATATACATATATACATATCTATATCGTGGACAGAACGGTTGCAACACTTTTTCGGAATATAGCTTGTTTACCGAGTGATTGATTTTTACTTATGGATCTAACTATTTACATTTAACCTTTCTAGAAGCAAGGCTGAGTTCTGAAACCCATCGAAAAAAAGTGTTGCAACCGTGCGTACTGTCCACAACTGTACATATATAAATGTGTGTGTGTGTGTGTGTAAGTTATTTATACTTTATAGAAAATTAAAGTAAACCTGAAGAAGAAATTCTGCAAAAATATAACGACGGAGTCCATTTTATCATCACATTTAGATAATTATTATACATCACAACGTCTCATTTAATTTAAACAATTTTCCCATTTTATGAGCTATCTTAATCATTTCAAGTGTGTTGTATATTAAACTTAAATTAATAAATTATAGTTTTCTATATCAATTGATTGAATATATAACTAAAAAATTAAAAATTGGGAAAAAACAAAATGGGGGCCCACATTAACACCTTTTGCTGATAGATATATACATATCAGTCGTTTTTAGTACTTATTTTGTTTGACATATTCTTGTTTAACCTTGTTTTTAACATTAATCAATTATCGATAGTTTAATTAAAGTTTTAAATTTGCATAATTTCTTGATTGTAATAATTTTCTCCTTTTTATAACGCAATGTGTTTAATTATTATATGTTTAATTTCCGGTTTTTGTAAATATTTTTATGAGTAATCCCAGAGAATAACCACAGACTTTTAGTTTGTAATTTTAACACGCAATAAAAGAAATAGAGCGTTTGCATTACGCGGATGTACTCATGGAATCTGCAAAAAGAAAAATGTCACGTTCTACTACTGATAACTCGATTCTTTTCAATCCTGGAAATACTTTCGATGTAAAGTACGAAACTAAATAGTACCACAATAGTTTGCATAAAAAGTTACATCTATTGACAACTTAAATAAACCTTATTTTGTTTGAGAAATTTTCTCATTGTTTAGTAATTATTAGTTTTACAGAAGATTTTTATTCTATTATTTAATTAAAATTTTTCTGTTTGTAGAAATTCCATTCAGAGAAACGTTGGAAATCCAAAGAAAGTCATTGTTGAAGCAGGGAACAGAATTGGAGATAAAGTACAAGACGAAACAATATCATTTTCTGAAAATAGTAATTTCTTGCGTTCCAACTCTGAAACTGTATATGATGAATATGAAGAAGACAAAGATTATATACGTTGGCAATTACCGAAGATAAAAAAGTTACCAACCCTCTCATCCCTAGTACGTTTTCGTTATGTTGATTATTTATCTAGAAAAGAGCTTAGAATAGAATTAGATTTAATTAAAACATTATAATTATTAAACTTTTTTAAAAAAAGAAATATTTGTTAACAATTTGCTAATTTTATTTTTTTAAATATAGCATACTATTTTTTTATCATCAGATAGTACTTACATGACACCTTTCACGTATTCTGATATATCAATGGAAAAGTAAAATATTTGTATAGTAATGAATTTTTAAAAAATTTAATTTATAATTATTATATTATTTATCTAATAGTATACCCTTTTATCAATTTATATTTTGTTTTTTTATATTTAAATAATTGTAAATCAGTACATAATGGACAAAGTATTTATATAATAATATTTACAAATAATGATAATGTATACATAATTTTATATATTATATAGAATTACAAATATATCTATATTTCAATAGAAATTAATGAACTGAGAAAGGGGTAAGTGTATATGTATATTAAATTAAAGCAAAACTTCTTATAAAGACTCTTTAAATTAATCTAAATATGTTTTTTATAGAAATAAAAATTATATTATAATTTCAATGTGTATTAATTTGTTCTAGCTACGTGAATGGAGTGCGATACAGGTAATTCTGCTTTCGCAGCACCGTATACATTTTAAAAAACGTATAAATATATTATCTTCTTTATTTTTGTATTATTTTTTTGCACTAAATAATGTATCTAAGAGTTTGAATATTTTTTAATGTTTAATTTATTATCTATATTACACATACCTACTTTGTCATTATACAAAAGAAACCTTAAAAATGCATAAGATGAACAATATTAATACTTTATTTTAATAGTAATAATTTAAATTATATTTTATAATAAATTATTCGATATTTTAGTCCTTTAAAAATATCACTTAAAATAATAATGGAAATATTTTTTCATGTTTTTCCAATTTTTTTTTAGTTATACACGAAAAATATAAAATTATAATTTACTCTTTCTCGATTGCTTTTTTTCCAATAATTTTCAAGGTTTACAAATACCGTAGAATGTTATATACATAATGTGAAATAATGCAGCTAGAATAATGAATACTTTATTTCGCAGGTATCAGATGTGCACACTTTTCACATAAAAATTTTATCAAACAAAGGATAATTACATCATTCGACCAATTTAGCCTAAATCTCTAGAAACCGAAACAATGACTAAAAAAGCACTTAAAGCGTTAGAAAAAGAGCAAGCGGCGTCTGCAGCCGCTGAAGCTGAAAGAATTAGGTATGAGTTTAGATTGTTAATTATAAGAGAGAGAGAGATAACGATTAATTAAATCTGATTACTTAAATTACACAGTAAATAAAATGTTAACACTGAAATAGCAATAATCAACGCTTTTTATTAATAGTAATGGACGTCTATATAATGTATTATTAATTAATCTATTTTAGTAATTTTTTAAACTATCGAGATTTAGTTAAATTAATAAATCGATAATATTAATAAAATACGTTAGTATAGAAAATAATTGCTCACATTACACTTTGAGCTTTTTCACTATTTTGTTAATAAAATATTTTTAATCAAGAATGCAGATGATTAAAGATATGCAGGAAGAGATTCGATTAGAAAAGTACAATACGGAGAGACAAATATTCCTCGATGAACGTGAAGCAGCAATGCGAAAAGTTCAATTAGAAAAGACATTGTCTGTGCTTCATGATTACAACAGTGCATTTATGAAATATTTAGTTGCCTCCGAAGAAGAAGAAAATGTAAATATTATCTTTTCTTATTTGTATACTTATAATAAATAATTATATAAGATACTTATATGAAATACATATTTTTCTTTATTATAATATACGTTGTTTTTGCATATATATATATAGTTATTAATACCTTTTTTAATCATTTAACTATTTATTCTTGGATATCAAATATTGAATTAAATACGAATTATAATTGTATTAAACAGGCTTGTAACTCTCATAAAAGCACATTTTATGATATCTCTAATTTTTTTATAACCAATTTATTATTTTCAGTGGACTAGATACATGACTTGCGATGGATTGCCAGATCCTGGCAGTTTGTCCGAAATGAATACCTTTTTATTTTTATGGTCTATGGAAGACGAGAAAGTTAACATGAACAAATTTATTATAAAATTCAATATCATCATTTATGTACGTAAATTTAAAATAATTAAGCCAATTAATAATTCTGATGC